CCTTTTCTGTTAAGCGGTTGAGGGTTTAGGGATGAATGATTAGAAGTAGGGTTTAGGGATTTGGGCTCAGGGAGCGCGATGAAGACTCAAATGGAAAAGAGAATGCAACATGAAATGGATTGCCAAAGTTCTATTTTCGGAGTCATTGGGTGTATGAACACAATCCCGCTATAATCCTTATGTATAGGGCTCTCCCCTTTGAGAAACTCCTGAGCAAGTTTTGGGTTTAAGGATTTAGTTGGGGGACCCAGACCCACTTATGAAGGACTGTCATTTGAAGCATACCAAAACGCCTAGGCTTCGGACCCTGAACTCTAAACCCTAAATACCCTAAACCCTGAAAATCCTAAATCCTGAATCAAGCTGCATGACCTCCCCTTCTTGATCCTAAAGCTGCTGCAACCCCCCTAATCGCAGAGATTCCCCACGTGAGCCAGAATCTAAACCCTTTAAACTGGGGTTATGTAGGGTGTGGGGTCTAGGGTTTAGTGTCTGAACTCCTGAAAGCGGGTTGTATAGGGGTTATATATTGGAGCAGTAATGGGGTTATTAAGGGGCTTCCAGGAGTTGAGACTATAGCGCATGTAGTATGCGTACCATTTCGGTGCGAAGATTTGGTGCTTGGGGGTAGGTGTCCATCGTTAAGGGGAGTTCCGTTTCAGTACCCTGGGCTATAAGCCCCTTACACGCAGCGTCCGGCAGCAGATGTCCTTGCCAAGTCCTTACAAAATCCGCAACAATATTCCAGTAGTTTCCATTTACTGTTCAGTGCTTTCACCCCTTACTAACTTTAAACGCTTAACCCAACATATCCCTGTTAAAACCCTTGAGCAACCCTTTGGGATTTCTCTTCCGGATCTTAGGAGGTCAGGTCATCTCACAGGGACTGTTGAAAGTTTTGTCTGGAGTTTGGATTTGGGCTTGGGTATAGGGCAGTTTAGGGTGTATAATTTTGGGTATTGGCTTTAGAGTTTTGTCAGGTGCTGCAGATGTAGGAGTTGGGGGAACTTGACATTTAGGATTGGTAGTTGGGAGAGTACAGTAGACAGTTCCGTGCTTAGATGGAGATCAGACTCTCATGCGTTGCTTGTCTATTCGTGCCTTGTGCACTTATTTCCATGCTTGGACTCAGAAGGCTGAAAAACTCCCTGATATCGAATACTTCCGTTATGCTATACTATGAAATATTGGGGCTACTAGTGTAAGGGGGGTGGGCGTGGGGGATTCAATATTTGTTGTTGCTACAATTTTCAGATGTGGCCGTTATCTTGAGAAGTTCCATACTTGTCTGGGGAAGCATTATCCCAGCCCCAGGTCCCAAGACCATCCCAAGAATCCCCACACCCCTAAGCTTTTTTCCCCTTGAACCCAATGAAGCCCTCTAAACCCTTGTATATCCCTATATATCTCCTTGAAACCCTAAACCCTAAATTCTAAACCCAGATCCCTGTTTTTTTTTGGGAAGAAACCTCAAAATCACCTCAAGGACCCAGGACAAGTCCCAGGAGGCCTGGCAAGCTGAGGCCGCAGAGCTTTCAGAGCTTCAGGCCGGCGAAGCCCAGGGTCAAATCGGATACTAACGGTCTTTAGGGTTGAGGGTTTTGGGGATTTTGTGAGCTATAGTCTAAACTCCTTAAAGGCGGTTACATAGGGAGTATCATACTAAGGGTTTAAACTACAGCTCATATAGGAGTATATACATATGTGTGTGTTTATGCTGGTTTCATTTAGGGGGATACGAGGGATGTGTATAAATACATAGATAGATAGATAGATAGATAAATAGATAGATATGTATATATATACATATATGTATATGTTTGTATGAAGTCGTGGCAAAGAGGATGGGAACTCCAATTGAGGGTTGGGGCTAAAAGGGTTACAGGGTTCGGGATTTTAAGGGCTTAGGGTTCAGGCGAAACAAAATGAAAACTACAACACGCGGTAAGGGGATAGAGGGGGGGGGGTGTTCTGTAGAATACAGTGGGCTCTGGCTTAATGTAGAGAAGCCTACATTGTTTTAAAATATGCGTATGCAAAAAGCTGAACCGCACCCACCCATGATGGCTGCTCCAACAAACAAAGAACCCAGCTGAGGCCTCGCAGCTTCAACACTCCAAGGCTCGCAACTACATGCGACAACAGTGAGATGAGCCAGCAAGGAGAGCTACTCATAAAACGACGAAAGATGCCGCCACACCCGCATGCTACAACAAGAGATTCAAGCACTGAGCTTCACAACCAGTTTTGACATGTGCCTAACTGGCTCGCAAGGTCCTTCCGCAAGAAGGTGTCTCAATCTAAATTGAACATACGTGCAGCGTGATAGACTTTGCAATGACGAAAGCCAAGACAAAACCTCGCGGCCGCATCGTGCCCTTGCAGTTCAACAACGCATGGCTGCACAGGATTCTAAACCATGGCAAGACAGCCGAAGTGCGAGGCAGCTCGGGAGGACTGGGTGGTACGTGGCTTGGCAAGAACGGGAACACCACTGGATGGGCGAGGATTCACAAAGTCCAACAGATGAGAAGAAAGGACAAGTTGAAGCAGCTGACGCACATGCACCAGACCTACAATCTGAGCATCGTTAAATCCACCCTTGGCACCTAGCCGAGGTCGCAAAAACAGGCCCCCTCGAGTACAAAAGTTCAGCAGGGCCCAGTGTCTGGACAAAGTATCACAAGCCATGACATCTGTAGTTTACAAGTCACGTTCAAAGAGAGAAAAGGGATTCGGATGCAGACTTCAGTCTCGATTGTTCTCGGACCGTAAGCACTCACCGCAGGCATCAACTGCAGCGATTGTAAAATCGCCGCCAAGTCGCGCAATATTGGGAGTGCATCTCATCGCCCGCGCTAGCCACCTCGTCTCGACCTCAGTCGGCGCGGAACAACGCCCCGAAGTAGGAAGTCTGCAACAATCAACTTCTCCTGTTCCAGGACCGGCAGCGACCAAGGGGTTGGATGACCTTCCAACTCTGGCGGCTTCCAGTCCACCTCCCAGACACGCAGAACACGGTACAGGCCGACTCTGGCTAGCCCGGCTTGCCCGAGCCTTGGCTTTGCCAGCTCACCAAATTTCACAGATGCGTCGTAGCGAATTTAGGACGACGCCAACTGTGCGTCCAGCTACCAGCAGTGAAACCCCACAGCTGGCTGAAAGGCACGTGCTGGGAGGGCTTGCTGTACCATGCAGCGCTCGGCCACGTGGACCCAGTTCGCTGAATAGCCATCTGCATCGTGCCCACGCGCTCTTCACTGCGCACTCCTCGAAGCTGTCTCAGGCCAGGCGCCAAACTTTATAAAGGATCCTTAAATGATTTACAGCAGCGCATGCCCGGACCCGGGCCACTTACATGCCTCACTGCGTACGGTGTCTCAGGGGGGACACTGCTGTATCACACTCGGGCACTGGAGCGAGACAAAGTCCTGTTCCAATTATTTTGGCCCCTACGTTTCTGCTGGGCAGCGCGCGCCTTTCTTCTCGCGCGCTTAGGCGCAAACTCAAAAGACGGGTTCCTCACTTCCCGTGCAATTGCTGCATAATGCTGAGGTCCCTATGCTGGAGGGCTGGGATTTGCGGCGTGGCTCGGGTTTACAGCGGGTCAGGGTATGTAGGGCACAGGGCGGGCTCTGGCTTATGCAGTCAGAGAAAAGACTTGGGCTTTAGCTAATGAGGCGTGTAAGGTTCGGGATTCCAGCGAGTATGTACTTGTGGGGTGATGTCATTCATTTTTCTTGAGCTCTGGTCTCAGTATGCTGGCGCCCACATTCAGTGGAGAGTTGCGTTTGTCCCGTTTAGGCTATCCGAATTAGCTTGGATCCTTCGAGGTTAATTTGGAATCTACATGAGTGGTGGTCGAAACTAGAATCCCTACTCACAGCCGTATTATGCAGGCTTTCCAGTCCACAACCATGGTATGATTTCCGTTTCCCCAGCACAGCTTGGGAACAACTTGGCTTGCTGAGACTTAGTGATAGCCAACAGCCTTACCTGGGGATACAGAAGGCTGAAAAAATCGCCTTATGGTAAAAACCGGTTTTTAGTGATAAAAGGCGGTATTTTGGGTTTTCAATGGTTTCTTGGGGATCTGTAGACCGGCCATTTTTGCAGGAGAAATTGGTTGTGAGGCCTGTAGCGCACTCCAGCAATCCCATTCTATGGCAACGCA